ATAATTCACAGTTTTGCATTTTGTAAATCAACTTGAATGAAGCCGTGAGCGTCAACCTGGCCTGACAGTTCTATTTCTGAAGCCTTGGATTCCCCGCTTAAAATTAATCAGACTGTAATAACACAGATAGTATCTTTATTACGTTTCGGTATTGCAGTCAAAAATCCGTTCGAAATTTGTGATAACTTGCTGCGGACTACAGTCGGATCGTGTTGCACAGCTTTCGGGTGGTTCACCCGTTCCCAAAATCATCCCATTCCGTGGCGAATATCTTTTGCTGGTTTCCGAGAGCAAGAAAAAACTTATAACAACAAATGTTTACCCGGTAGGCATTTTCACTTTTTTAAATGTGTTATTCAGTTCTTTACGCATTTCAGAAACACTTTGCTTTATAGTGTACATTTTCCGCAGCGCCTTATTGAAGACGCATTTCGGTGCAGATAGATTTGAAAGGAGCAAATCTATCGTGCTTGCATCAAATATGATCTTTCAGGTGCCGGATCCTCGTTTTCCGTTCCTTGGCGTCCACTTCACACCTCGCATGAACGGAGGTCAATCTTCACAACATAAATACATTTTTCACCCGCGCTGTTACATGACGTTCTCTGCAAACTTTGATTGCTCTCTGTTAGGCACTTCTAGTAGCAATTGTTTGGAAAATAGAATGTGTTGTAGTTTATTCAGTAGAATTACTGTAATTTCGTTTGCAACTGCACTGCCGCAGCGGACCGGCATACAACACCTTTCACGAGTTCGCAGCACAGCAATGAAATGAGCCTGGTTGCACACTGCGCGATATGTATTTTCAGATGTGTGGCTGGGACCGAATGCATTGCTGGCGTTCAAAAGAGAAGGATATAGGTTTTCGGATATTTCATTCACAGATCTTTACGACGCTCTTAGTTACAAGTGATTTTTCTACGATCATAGCAATTGCCGCGTATTGCTAGCAAGATTAGAAACGATGGTGGCTTGTGTTTCAGGGGTATGAGGAAACTTGCATTCAAATTCCTGGGGTACGGCATAAAGGAATTCTATCGTGGGTTATGGATCACGGGGCAAGTGAAGCAACTGCAGAAATTTATGCCAGATTTGAGGAGATCAGATGTTGCACGGTAAATTTTTTCCTTTTTTTTTTTCGAGAGGAGGGTAATTCCCGGAAAATTCGGTAATTGTGGCATGAAGACGCACGGTAGCAGCTTTCTGCCATTGATATCGAGGTGAACACAGTTGTGGGATTTTTTGGAGAATATGTAGTCAAAAGGGTTGTTTACGCTTCCCTCCTGCAGAAATATCTTTTGAATTGGGAATATAATGATGTTTCAGTGGTCCAGCGGGAGTTCGTGCCCAGGCACTCGATCTGAATGGAAACCTTGTGGATGATTTTGTCTTCGACAGTGGCCAGGGAGAATTGAGCAAGCGTGTCTTGCATGTACGTAATGCACCTAGCCCTGGCGCTACAAGTAGCTTGGCCATTGCTGAAATGATTGGCGAACGGGCATCTACGTTGTTCAACCTGAAGCACAAAGCCCCAAAATCACCGACCGCTCCTCGAGATTTACGCTCACAGTGAATACAGACGTAAAGTTCAACTTTTCATCATCTTCATCGATTTAGCAGAGAACTGTGGGAGGGAAAACGGAATAAATGGATCTTTTTTTCTGCAGAATTTTTTTATTTTTTACCGGGAAGTTTCATTACTTCCCATTTTTACAGTCGTTTATACGAAAAAGTAAACTGAGTATGAAAATCCCTTGGGAATGTTATTTTGTTGCAGTGATGGTGGCAAGATAATCTACAACACCGTAGTGCTGTATTTTTACTGCGCTGGGCAGTGGAGCTGCAGTTAGCTTGCATTTCAGGCGGTGTCTGCGCGATTAAATTATGCACAGCTTTGTCAGCTGGCCAGTGCTGTTGCTGCTTGGACCAGAGGTTGTCTT